CTATTTCCAGCGCTCAAGTCTGCACTCACGAACTCAGCCCGAAGTTTTTGATAATGGTCCATGGCTGACCCTATGACCTTAGACCCGGGCGCCTGGAGGATCCGGATTGAGATGAATTCCCGGAGTGATAACTCGGGAAAAGATTCTGGCCACTGCCCCGCACATTCTCACTCATTCGGGGCCGTTCATGTACATTATACAACGTAAGATATTTTGGCCGACTCATTGACTCCGCTCAACCAATGCGAGGCAACTTTTTAATGAACATGGCTGCCAAATGTAGGGAAACTCCGGAAATGTCAGGGGAAATGACGAAAATGTCAGTAAAAATGACAAAAATCAGGGTTGCCACATAATCAGGGAATACCGGGAAACCCGGAAAATGTCAGGGAATTTTACCAAGTCAGGAAAAACCTGGAAATTTCATTGAAAATGACGATAATGTCAGGGAAAAATCGCCAAATCACCTTCTTTTGCTTTCTCGAGTGGGTTCGACGTTTCGAACAACAAATTCTGCGAGAAAACTATTTCCACCCATGTCTTTCTACCAATCCGACGTTTATGTTCAGTTGTCAGGGAATTTTACCAACATGTGTCAGGGAAATGTCAGGGAATTAAATTTTTCAAATTCTGTGGCAACCCTGAATAATTTCCGGGAAAGTGACGTAATTGTCAGGGGAAACTTATTTAGTCACCTTTATTCGCTGTCTATAGAGTGGGTTTGTCATTTCAAACAACAAATTTTGCCTGGAAACCACTCGGGCGGTTTCTTGCCTCGAAAGGAACCGTTCCGTGGGACTCCACGGGGTCAACAACGTAAAAGACAGCACGTTCTCGTTCTGATTTGCAAGAACCTAAAACTGCAATGTCACTCGAATGTAGATCCGCGGCATTCGCTCGGAAACAAACGCGATTTTTCAAGTTGGTAGCTCTGAGCTTCCTCTATTCAAATAGGCGAAAAACAAACGATTCATTCATTCATTTCAATGTATGCAAACAAATCGACATTCACAGAAGTACGCTGTTTCATCTACAACGGATTTAAAGGGAGGAAAAACTTTTTTACCAATTTCCGGGCATCGTTACTGCGATGCAGTACTTCCGAGAGGCGCTTAAAGTGGCCATTGTTCACTCCGGACAGGATCTTACGGACGTATTTATGCAAAAAGGAAGTTTGTGTATTGGGTTTGCGTGCAACATAGTTCCTTTTAGCATAAATACGTCCATATCGAAAGAGGTCGTATGGATCAGAATTATATTAGATGTACACACTGGACCATCTCTTCAGCTATTCCTAACGTTATCAGTTTCTGATATCGCGGGAGAAGTAACCGCCAAGGCTGAAATCTCGCAACTCTCGGCGGATTCTCTCGGCGGTGCGCGGTTACTGCAGGATTTCAGCCTATTATGATCAACTGTCTTATTCAACTGTAATCGCATAATAATTGTATTCCGCACGGTCGGATGCAGAGGGAATCGGAAATTCACCCTACTGTTGCCGTTTTTACCCCTTTTACTTTAGTATTCGCGGTATAATGGGTTACTAGACAAGGTTTGAACTAGGAAAAATCTCTTCATCTTTTCAAAATCTTACGTAAAAGATGCACACATCGGAATACGGAAAAAAGAGTAGAAGTTTAGTCCCAACTTGTACATTTTCAATTAACTTTGGTAGTGCCACCATTAATTGCGGTATAGCACCCCAATAAATTAGGTTACGAACCCAAATATTGCGTTACTACTCATATTTGAGTTGCAGTATTATCTAGCTAAATTGAAAATATCCATATCATCTACAAAATTGGGGGCAGCACCACAGTTTTACTGTATAACCCCCGAAACTTTTTTTCTGTGAAAGTTTGGAAGTCACCTCCTGATCTATCGCGGGCATTTGTCAGGAGCCTTTTCACAAAGTACTGAACGCGGCAAAACTAAACCAGTTTTTTTTTCTGGTGAGCAGTCGCGAGAGAAAGGTCATGGCGGCCAAACCTTTTCAAATGCAACCATTGAATTATAACACCCGACGTTTTGAAAACCAAGTCGCCTTGCAACCAATCATAAGTCTCTGTAAGCGTGGGGGTGTATGAATGAGGTAACGTCAACCTTCATATTTTAAGAAAAGGACATGAATTGAAAATGGAGGGGAGCAAAGAAACAATTTTTCCAGTCAAAATTTCCGATTTTAACGGTTTAAGGTCTTGAGTAAAGATTTCCATACTCCAGAAGTATGTGTCCGCTCGTAGGAACTATGAAGTTTATCACTCTTTGGTAATTTTCGAATGAGTGACTTGAACGCAAGACTGTGAAGAACAACTTGCAAGATCCAGTAGTGTATCTTGGCCGATAATGATAGACAACGGCTGATATGAATGGTGGCTGTCGACGTAATGGGGGTGGGTACTATATCAGAATATAGGAGACTTCCAGTGTTTTCAACAAAAAACTGACAATTTCAAATTAAAATATGTGTAACTTTCTTCCAAAATCCATGTTTTATCAGGGGAAATTTAGCAACGTCCAAATATTCGTACGGCCTTTTCCCTTAGCACGGCGGAGCAGAGAAGAGAGGGAGTTTGCCCCATCTGCACCTCGTTCACCTAGCCAGAAGTTCTCCAGAAAAGGGCACCATGAGCGGTGACACAGCTTTCGTTACAGTGCAAAATGAATTATGCCGCTTTGATATCGGGCCAAATATGACGTCTCGAATGAGCACGAGCAGCTTTTTGAGCGCACGAATTTCTCCGAATCCACCTTGTTAGATTTCGCTCCTCTTTTTCATGGCACCACTTTTGGAAGTCTTTAAATCAAAATGAACTTTAAACACTCTGGCAAGAACCCTGAGATTCGTAAAAATACACACATGACAAGGCCCATGTCTAAATGAGTATAGTTTCTTTCGATTTATACGCCCATTTCGCATTTCGCTATTTCTCGTTCATTCATGAAAGCCTCGATCTACTCAGTAGGCTGATTATTAGAATCAATCGACAGACCAAAAGACAAAGAAGATGGTCCGATCCAATGGGTGGAAGAGGGCGATTCCCGCAAAAATAGAGGTAGGGTAAGACTCAACTTCGAATTTTCCAATTGATGGTGTATGAAAAAGTTACGTCGTTTTAAAAAGTAGAGGGATTTCTACTAGATGACGTAGGAATCGTTAAATAAAAGAATTTTGTGTCTCGTCGAAAGGTCGGGGATTTGTTTTTAAGGAGTCTGAAAGAAGTTTCCTAACTTTTTCCCAACTTCCTTAATTCTCCAAAATTACGACTGCCCTCCTAGCTGAACATCGAAATTGGTAGACCAAGCGATTGCCAAAAAAGAAAAAGGGATCCTACAGATTGAAACAGATGGTGAAAAGAGACCAGGGGGAAATAATTGACTTACTCTATAGGTTGTCCCATCGGTTCCTGTTGATTGGATTGCATTTTGCAGTAAGGAACCACTATCTCTGACTCTTCCATAAAAGCACCTTTCTGCATTGGGAAACCAATAACACATATGCTGTTTTTAAAATGAGCCAGAAATAGTGGTTCCTTAATGCAAAATGTGGTCCAATTGGTCTATTACTCATCTCCTTCGTTCATCATAACCATCCGTTTCCACCAATAGGGTCGCTCCATTTTTCCTTGGTCCCCTTGTCTATCGCTTTGTCTACCAAGTTCAATCACAATAATCATCCCGCTGAATGCAACACGGGAGGAAAGAAGGCAACGTGAACCGCAGAAGAATCCCAGTTGAATCCGTCCAATTTATCTCTTTCAATGACAAAACATTCATTGAGGGGGCTGGATGGGGGGGGGGGGCGTTTTGTTGTCGTCCGATTAGGATCCTACATGACGTTGCACTCGGACTGCGATAGTGTCACACGAGCCACCGGTTACACCCATCTTCTCTTGAATAAGCATTTCTCGTCGGGGGAAGTCGGGGGATATTGAAATGAAGCCGGCCGAAATGCATTATGGCAGCGCACGCCACTAACTTAATCCTGACCACGTGACCCGGAGCGCAGGATAATGCACCCATTGCACCCCGTCGCAAGTCGGGAAAAGTTAGCCAACGCGACGTCACCGAGCCTTGCGTCACTCAATGCTATAGAAAAACGTCGCGTAGACGTCCAAGCGTCGCCTAATTTCTTACTATAAAATCCGGATCACGTATGTCAGTGAATGAATTCATTCACAAGTATATGTACGTTTTTTTTTCGACATAACCGCGGTGTTATAAATGTAGAAAAGTTGTTTTTAGTGTCTTGCGTATCTTCAATTATTTTTATCATTCATTTTACATTGAAAAGATACTTGAAAATAATTGTGCGACATTGAGTCTAATTACATGATGAGGGAACCATTCGGTTTTCAAAGTAGGTTTCCTCGTATTTTTTCGCAAAAATAGCAAATCCCGTTGGATTTGGTCCCTTTTCACGCATTTTTTCACAAATTCAATCACATATTGAGCTCTCTCTCTCTCTCTCTCTCNATCAAATAAACGCAACACATCAAGATTCTCTCTCTCTCTCTCTCTCTCTCTCTCTCTCTCTCTCCCCCCTCTCACCCTCTCCCCCTCTCCCTGGTGGAATTTACTATGTTGCTACGCTATGGAATCGGAAAGTGAATTTAACTTTTCCGGGGAAATTGTGCGGATTTAACTGGGTAGATAGTCTCAGGATTTTACTGAAGGACTGAACTCAGAAAGCACGAATTCCGCAACTAGGTCGGCTAATTTCAGTTCATTCATCCTGGACTCTTCCATTATCTCATTTTTGTCCGGATTTCATTCCACAATGCGCTCAAAGCATCTGTCCAATTAAATGGAATAAGTTATGAAGAAGCGAGCAGCTGTGCTCGTTGAAACGTCGAGGATCAAGGACCTGTGTGACGCGCCTACTGTGGCGACCCCTCACACGATCGAAGTTACTACCCGCGCTCCTCCCATTGGCTGCCGGAAGGCAGCCGCTCAGGTATAAATACCCAAGGTTGAGCCCTCTTAGTCATTCGTTTCGTTCTCTCGACAAGCAGCAGACCTAAACGCACAAATCATCATGTCTGGAAGAGGTAAAGGAGGAAAAACTAAGGGCAAGTCAAAGACCCGTTCATCCCGTGCTGGGCTCCAGTTCCCAGTTGGTCGTATCCACCGACTTCTCCGCAAAGGAAACTACGCCGAGCGTGTTGGTGCCGGAGCTCCCGTCTACTTAGCCGCTGTCATGGAATACTTGGCCGCTGAAGTTCTCGAGTTGGCTGGTAACGCCGCTCGTGACAACAAGAAGACCAGGATCATCCCACGTCACTTGCAACTTGCTATCCGTAACGATGAAGAATTAAACAAGCTTCTCTCTGGTGTCACCATCGCCCAAGGAGGTGTCCTGCCCAACATCCAAGCTGTACTTCTGCCCAAGAAGACCGAGAAGAAAGCTTAAGTTCACTTTCTCCATTCGTCTCTTCACTTTAAAACGGCCCTTTTCAGGGCCACCAAATGTTTAAGCTACCGACGACCGACGCTGCACGGTAACAATTCTCCGTGTAAAGGGATGTGTCTAACTGCAGGTCTCTAATAACAGTTACCACCTCATCTGTCATTTAGATTAGATATAACAGTCACTTATTCCCGACTGATATTTTGGAGGAAATTGCTCGAAAATTGTATCTTGTCCAATTCGATTCGGTCGTAAAATGATATGTCCTGCCAGGGTAAATCAACTCGCGATATAATTTCGAACATTTTATGTAGAATGCCTTTTTTCCCCAAGCCACACCATTTCCAATAAAATACCTACGTCATCAAAAAAATCCACGATGCCAGGATGCGAAAAAAAAGTTTGACACCTGTGTGGCGGCCAATCACCGCTCACCTCTAACGACGCAGCCCATGCTCGCTCCTGATTGACCGACGCAGTCTCAACTACGGCTATATACGTCGTGGCCACACCGACTGTCAAATCTACGCGTTTTGACGACTTTCTAAAATTCCATTTGNCCAATGTGTTTTTTTTTTTTCAGTGTAAGCCGCGTTAAAGTTTACTTACATGTTCCTTCATAAACTCGCAAGGGTAAAATAAAGTACACTTTCTATCCTGTTCAAATTGTTTTAATTATTTTTGGTGGACTTTAGGGCAGAAAAACGACCTATTATCGATCTGTCCTTCGGCAACGTTGGAATGCTCATAGGGGGTTTTTCCGGTGGACGATGAAGTCGGAGTCGGAGTCGGCCGCCCAGCGATTGTTACCGCTGCCCACACTAATAGACGTGTTCCACGTCTCGCCTCCCAACATGTCGAGCAGGAGCGAGTGGGCACACCGGGGTGTTTTGTATGCGCGCATGAAATTGAATTGAACTGCGCCTGCGCGCTGCGCCCGCGCGGGAAGAAGTCCCGTCCCCGTCCGGAGCATGCGCGCATGCGCCGCGACGCCTATTTATAAATCACGCCCGGTGGCGGGTGGCTCCCTGCTCCTTGTTTGGGCCGTGAAATGTCCAACAAATGTGTTAATACTCCGGCTCCCCCCGAGTCCGAGTGATAGAGCCAGCTCCCTCGCGTGATAATGCAACGTATTTAATTCAAATGACATCTCCTCCGGTGCCTCCCTCGCTGGTTTCCTTCGCCCGCGCGGGCATTGCCAAATCGGAAAAAAGTCCCCGAGCCTCGTCCGGGGGGCGGCGCGAGGGTGAATTCTGTCACCCACTTTGGCGCCCCTCCTCTCCTCACGGGGGTTGTTGCTCCATGTTTTATTTCCTAATATTAGGTTATCCTCAGCTTCCAATCTCATGCTGAGAAAATGAGATAGTGCAATAATGCCACAAGGAATGATGCAATTGACTTATAGAAACACGTAGTTTAATAATAGAAACTGAAATGACGAATACCAAACATAATAGACCGAAGAGATGATAAGGTAGAAAATGTGCAAAGGAAGGCTAATTTTAATGCCAATTAAACCTTTACATTAATACATACTGGACATATGGTCAAAATTGCATTTTTATGGTAACGGTGACGCAAGAAGGGTCAATGAACAGAGGAGGAGGAAGAAGAAGAAGAAAAAGAAGAAGAAGAAGAAGAAGAAGAAGCAGCAGCAGAAAAGAATAAGCGGAATAAGGAGGAGACAACGAAGAAGAAGAAAAAGACCAAGAAGAAGAAGAGGAAGATGGTGAGGATGAGGACGAGGACGAAGACGAGGATGATAAAGAATGAGAAGAATGGTTAAGAAGAGAAAAACTATTCATAAAGACAAAAAGGAGAAAAAAAAGGAGACGATGTAGACATAGACGGAAAAGAAGACAACTATCAAAGATTTGAGGAAGGAGACCGAGAAAAAGATACAGGAGAAGATGACAAAGAAAATGAGAGAGAAAAAGAGACGAAGTAAAAGAACATATTACACAAGAAAACTTTCAAAAGTTAAATAAATATGAGAGACGCTATAAATTTTAATGCCTCATGTGAAAATATACATTTGTGCGACTGGCTTGAGCCTGGCATTCACAAGGCGTCTCTCGATTGGAATAAGCACGGATACGCTACGTAAGTGGTAGATAATCAGGTGTCGATTTACCTCACAAGTAAAAAGCGAGAAAAAAAAACGGAGGAAACGGTCACCCAGTGAAAAAATTTCTCCTCCAATAAATAATTCATTCATTTATCTCTTTTAATCATGGAAAAAATACGTATTTACACCTAATGGTGAGCTATGTACGTATCCTCAGTCTTTTTCAAGTTTATAGCTGTTCTAAGCAAGTTTTTCACCTTTTCCCCACATTTTTTCTTTTTTCCTCCAATAGAATCGATCATTCGCAGTACTCTCTAACCCAATCATGGTCGATACTCGAGACTCCTGCGAAAACAACTTTGGTTGTGACATATTTTACATTCACACCATTTGTTAGCATGGTAAATCCAAAATTATTTTTCTCATACAAAGAAAAGAATCCAGGGGCGGCGTGTCATATCTGTGAGAAACGAATTAAACACCGGCAGTACCGGCACACAGTGGGTCGAGTCATGGGAGAGGTCAGACAATATTTGGAAACTCTAAACGCTCAGAACTCTGTTCACATAAGCAGTGGCGTGGCGTAAATTGCGATATATCGATTGTTATGTCATTTAAACCTATGGAAAAGGATCGATAAACAGACTGTTTGCAGCGAACACCCTGTTGCGGGGTTTAAATGACAGAACAATCGATACATCGCAATTCACGCCACGCCACTGCACACAAGACTTTTAAGTTGTATAAGTGATTCCAATGGTTGCCTCGTAAATTTTCTTCAAGAAACACTCCTTGAAATGTAAAATGAGACTAAATAAACATCAAAATGTGCAGTTTTAGTATAAAAATTCATGTCCGACCTCTCTAATTGAGTCGATCCACTGTGCGGCTGTTTGCTAGAGGACGAAGAGTCCCGAAATGGCATTCATTAGAGCTTTTAATCGTCGCGTCGTCTCGAATTAAGATTTTACCAGCTCGGGCGAAAAATTGCTCAATTTTCACTTTCCCCCGTGCAAGCGCTAAAATTAACACCGGAATCAACTGCAGCAGGCCTCGCAGGAAGCGCTGTTCTAGAATGGTATCCGACAATTTAAATTAACTCTTCGTAAGAATTTTGCAGCGTCATTATTTTTAACCGAACTTGAAGCAAGCTTAATTCTCTCGTCTTTACCACGGGTAACATTGATTCGGCAAGATGAGTCTGGGTTGCATTTGAGGTGAATTCTCAGCTTCTGCGTAATGCATTCTGGGTACGATTGATGGATTTCAAATTCTAACCATCAGGTGGATTGTGTTGGAAAACTCCGAATTTTATTCTTTAAGCCAATCACTGCAGAATGGTCGTGCAATTTTACTTGTACCTCTGATTTTCAATATTCTTTTTGAAAATGGGCGAATTCTAAAATAAAGGTTTAAAATGGCTGCAGGCACGTCCGACCCTCTAGTGTGAATACCGGTATTTACGCCTTAATCTGAGATTTCAACTTTTTAGATCTTGTTTTTAAACATCATGTTTACGAGTATAATATGTATCACAAGTAATGGGCTCATAATGTGACATCGTCGGATGGTTTCATTATTCTATTTTCAGGTACAAGGATTCTTATACCGAAGGATGAATCCAACCATTTACGAATGGATTCAAACAAGTTAGTGCCTGCTCCACTTTTAAGAGTAGCACTTGAGTCTAAATGAAAAAGTTATCCTCTTTGTTTCATCCAGTTATCTACACGTAATAATTCTTGCTCTTATAATTAATTTTTGCGAGCTGTTAATTGCTTCCACCAAATTGAGGTACGGTCCACACTGCTGTGCGAAGGAAAAACGCCGTATCAGCCCTCAGACGTTGCCAAATTTTCTTCGATAAAATTCGAATTTTCAAAGAAATTGCGGGAAATTTTTCTTTCAATTTTTCAGAGAATTGTGCTTGCAAGTTGCGCCATACTTTGTAAAACTTTTAAGGGAAAATATTCTTAAATTTCCTAAAAAATGAATGAATTATTAGGGGGAAATTGGCAACTCCTGTAGGCTCATATGGCGTTTTCTCTTAGAACGGCACAGCCGACGGGAGGTAGTTTCTTGTAAAAGTGAACATTTAATCGTCTCGTTTAAAGGCGATTAGAAGTCGAGAACATCCGAAAAATTCGCTAATTGCCTTCGCGAACCTGCGTTTGAGCGCTTTTTTTAGACAGCGTTTGGAAAGTCTGCAAAAATGTATGCGCTCCCTCCCTGCGGAGTAGAATGCAGTTCGACCAGTAGCACGTACCTCTCTGCAGAGGGCAATAAAGTCAGTACTGCCGCAGTAATCAGTGAGCAAGAGTTCCTAATTAGCTTCTGTATTTGACTTCCCAATAGTCCCGACCGCATGATTTTTACTTTCTCACTCCTTTTCCGATTTTGTGGCTCCTCCGGCGTAAGGGCGTATCTCGATTCCGCATGAGCCGCAGAAAGCATGTATTTATATGTAAAATAGAGCTCACGTGGACATTGAGGTACGTCTTAACGTCCGAGAAGCGATGCTTTTTGAACGCTATTCGGGGAGACCTAAGGTGATTCGCCCGGGGTTCTTGGCGTGGTCGAACTGGCGCGCGATATATCAGATCGATCAAATAAAAAAATGAGTACATGAATTTACACTTGACTGATTCATCTCGGCAGATTTTGACGTTTTAGCCGAAAAAATACGATAGCCCGTGCGAACGAATCTAATGAATCATTCACTGGGGGGGGGGGGTCAAAAATACACACTGGAAAAAAAAACCACATTGGATCTATGAGTCCAGACTCTTAAAAACATCGACAAGAAAAAATACTCTTGATTCGATCAGATTTAAGCTTAAATCAAGAACCAAGCCTCTTAATTTGAGCGGATTTTCTTTTGATTTAAGCTTAAATCTGATTAAATCAAGAGTCCTTTTTCTTGTCAATGTATTCAAGAGTCTGGGCTCTAGATCCAATGTGGTTTTTTCCCCTGTGTTCTCAACCAAAAATATTGCAATTTTTAGAGAATTGAATGCAGAATTCATCTTGGAAAACCGTTGCATTCGATGCAGAGGTCGAGAACTGGCTGATTGTTTAATTTTTATACGCAAAGCGATCGATGAAGGAAATTCAGGGGAACCGGATTGATACTTTGGTCGAAACGGGAGGTTTTTTAATTAGACGTGGGAGGAAAACGATGGACCAGATATGGGATCTCTAGTGGGTCGCCGTTGCCTTTAGTCAGTTTCTCACTTCCTTTATTCATTACAACTACCCAATTCTACAGAAAGGATAGCTTCTTTTTCCATCTGTTTTCTTTGTCTATCGCTTTGTCTATCAATTTCAATAATCAGCCCGCAGCAGCATTGTTCTCCGTCCGGCAACAGCGCCAATCTGCAAACAGACGTGCTTGCTCTAATCGGATCTGTTCATCAACGTTTATCGTTGTCATAATCACTTTTCAACAGATACCGTGAGCACTAAGCAAACGCCATAAAAGTAATGTTACTCTTAATTAGCCCCCCTCGTCCCTGTCTCTCTGTCCGATTGTAAAATCTCTTACATTCGACAAGATAAACTAAATGGAGACCGAGAGATGCCCGGTAAAAGAGTAAGTGGCGGCGCGCGGTATGTAATCGGTCCACTGCCTCAGGAAGTTAAGCACGTAAAATTTGGCTTTTTACGTCTACGTCTGGACCGTTATAGTTTTTTTTAGTTTTTTTCGGATCTTAATTTGAGTATCCGATCGCCTTATTGTGCGCAATCATGTTGAGACCCCCTTTAGAGACATTTCATTAATTACGTTCACCGCAAAGGGACCCCTCCCTCGTATCGTTACCAACCCACCTAAACCCCATATTGCATGATTCTCCCGACAAATGGACGTATTTCTGCCGAGCCGAACCATATGCTTTAAGACATGAGCCTTGAGACCCAGAATCAGGGCCGGATTTTCCTACTTGCCGCCCATGGGCCGCCTTGTATTTTGCCGCCCTTCTCTCATTCGTTTTGAAACATCAATAAAAACCATCAAGTGAACGTGCCAGCGGAGGTGGGGTGCATAAGACGCCCTTACTCGTGTTGAACACATTTTTTGGGAAAGCCGTGTCAACACTACTAGCAAAAGGTCACGGAACTTTGCGCGAAAAGGTCACGGAACTTTGCGCGAAAAGTTCAAGTTTCGTAAACCTACCTCTTATGGACAAGGCCTTCAATTCATAAGAAATGAACGAAAAAATTATGAAAGAACAAACACAAAAGGTTTAATGATTTTAACTTCCGCCGCCGCGCCGCGAGGACCGCACCGTGTTTGGCGCAATGCGTGAAGTATCCACGCAGTCTTGTAGGCGCTATGCGTTTCACGCTGACTGCACTGTGTTTGACGCAATGCGTGAAGTATTCATGCATTCTTGTAGGCGCTATGCGTTTCACGCTGACCGCACTGTGTTTGGCGCAATGCGTGAAGTATTCGTGCAGTCTTGTAGGCGCTAATATATGTTACATGCCGATTGCCGCGCCCAGGGCTTCTCCTTTTCATCTCAAGTCCTTGTCATCATTTCTCCCTAAGTCGCGCCGTTCCAGGCCAAATTGTGTTTCGTTTCTATCTTAAATCGACTAATTAGGTGTTGTCTCCTGTACCACTGAAAGACGACAAAATTAGAAACTACTATACTCTCAGGAAATGATAGATTTTGTAGCCTTTTCTCGTTTGTAATTATTTTTTTTCTACATACGTTTTTTTTCATACCTACATTTAAAAAAGTTGCAAGATTTGCCGCCATGGGCCGCGGCCCATGTGGCCACCCCCTTAATCCCCCTGATAAGAATAAATACATAACAGGGCTCACATCAGTGCCCTTCAGGGGTTGGATCGCGTAACGACTAGGTCCATTTTATTTTCTAAATTTTTCGAAAAATGGTCGAATTTTTCTTCTCATCAAGTACCGAGCTTTTTATTCTCAACTCACACTCACTTTTACGTTAATCTTGTATTTTAATTTTCTAAACATGTTTTGATTGCAGGAGAAAGGTCGACATCCGAGATGCGGAAGCGAAAGAACCGAAGGACCTGACGTCCTCAAGACAGATAATGCCCAATGCAACTATTAAGAAAAGGTTCGTCAATTTTAGCTTCAACCTTTTTTTTTTCATCACTAATTTTCATTTTGAAAAATTTCCGCCGAGTCAAAACTTGAAAAGAAGCGACTTTTTGTCAAGTAGAGTCGACAGATTTTAATATATCAACGGATAACTTTTTTTATTGGTTAATGGAATAAGCTGAGAGCAGTTTACAGTTGATTTTTTTGTCAATGCCTTGCAAGATGCCTTGCGCAAATTCGCACCTTAAAGCATTGCATTAAACCTTAAAGACAAATATAATTGTACTGTCCTCCTATTGTGGGGAGGGAGAATAGTGCTTCTACTAATATTAAAATTTTATTTTAGGGGGGTGATCTATTTGATAAGAATATTAAAATTAGCTGAAATATATGGTATTGTCTGGAGGCTCATGCAGTATTTTTCCTCAGCACGGTAATGTAGTTACACAGTGGGTACTCTCGGAAAAAAGCTTAATAGGAGAAAAATATCTTGAATTGTTACCTACAGAACACACTCCTGCAGTATGGCCGTTTAACACTTGGACACCCTGTGTATTCATCCTTTCTCTCGATATAACTTAACTATCGTGCCTTTCAATTTTGCAAAATGTTTCCTCGCAAATTGTGCACTTTTACCAAGAGGCACTTAGATATTTATAACTGAATCAGCGGCCATTTTCGGGCCCATCCTAGCTAAATTTCCTCAACTCTACAATTTTTTACTCTTCAAGGGTCTATATTCGTCATTTCTCTCACTGAAGAACGTAACTGCTTCTCAATGTTGCGACATATCTCCTCGCAAATTGCATTTTTATCAGGGGAAACTCGGGCTTTTCTAGTTAAACATTTCACTAAGGACCGATTGTAAGACCTCTGGTCAGGTGCTTGTCAAACTGGTGGTTTAAGCTTGACCAGAGGTATAGGTGTGTATGACTCCCGGTTTTCTTCAGGTCAAGTCCCGGTCAGCCTTTGTTCTCTCTCGTAAACCAGTAGTTAGGCTGATTAGCAGATTGACTGCTGGTCAGACTCTGACCACTGGTTTGGTGACCAGAGGTTGACATGAGATCTTACAAACGGCCCTAAGTTTTCTTCTGATCTCCAGCAAAAGTCAGGCGTAATTTTAATTTGCGTAAATTTTGCAACCTTGGAATGGAGTTACGTTCCTTCGTCCGGGAAACGACGCGACGTATTGGTCGTATTGGCTTTTCTCGAAGAAAAGGTGAGATGGAGGGTTTAAGTCGATGGAAGGAGACTAATACACTGCTCCCATATTCCATGTTCGTCAAAATTTCCGGGATTCGGAACTTTTTGCTCCAATTTTTCCCTCTCCATAATCGTCGAAAGTTCCGGGATTCTTCACAGATTTTTTCAAAATTTCCGAGAAAGTTCCGGAAAATGCTAAAGATCCGGAACATTTCGGGAATTTCAAAAGTTCCGGGGAAACATTCAGGAAAATCTCAAAAGTTCCGGAATTCGGAACTGCTTCCGGGAAATGGGAGCTTTGAACTAATAAGTGGGGTTTGTTTCAGCAATTCTCCGGCGACGTCGCCGACCATGTCCAACTCGTCGTCACCGACGCCGACCCCGACGCCAACGACGCCGCTCTACAACCACAAAATCGCCGGCATCCCCTGCGTCGCCGCCGCCTCCAGATACACAGCCCCCGTCCACATAGACGTCGGCGGCACCATCTACACTTCCTCACTCGAGACACTCACAAAGTAAGTTACAACTCCAACCAATCTCTTTCAATAAAAATGTACAACTCAAGTTCGGGGGCATCAGCGGCGAGGCGTGAACGATCGACTATCGGTTTTCCCCCATTTGAAGCTGTAGTGAAGAATCGATTATCGAGGTGTTCGTTGCGGACTTCCTCTTTATGGATCCTTTTCTATAGGTCTAAATGGTAGCTGAATCGATATATCGCAAAGCACGCCACGCCCCACCCCACAGTGGATCAAGTCAATCAAAGAGGTCGGACATGAAATTATTGACTAAAACTGCAAATTTTGATGATAATTTCGTCACATTTTGAAGTTTAAGGGGTACTCGGTACTCCGAGCAGGAAATTTCAAGAGGAAACCGATGGAACCACTCTCAGAGCCTCAAAGTTTTGTATAAACGGAGTTATAAGTGTTTAGAGTTTCCAAATTTTATCAGACCTGTCCTATTGACTCGATCCACTATGCGCCCCTGGGAGACATGTACTCATTTTTGGGGGTCCCGAGGACTAGCGAGTTGCTCAGGGTGTCTACTAGTTCGGAACATTCGAAAGTCCGGAAGAAGCGCTTCAGTGCCGTGTCCATGGTTCATTTGTCCTAACTTTTTTTCTCGGTGTTGGGCACAAATTGGACTGCGTTAAGCCGAAAGGAACTAAGCCGCATCAGCTATTGCCAAATTTGAGTGGGCAATTTAATTTTTTACACGAAAACGGTTGTGCGGATTTTTGTGCGAATTTCAGTGGATTTTCTGCATAGTACGAAGCAAATTCCTTCAATTTTCAAAGGAATCAGCACAAACGTTCTCTTGCAAAAAGTGAAATTTTCCAGTCAAATTTGACAGTAGCTGATGCGGCTTGATTCCTTTCTGCTAAACGCGGTACAAATATTAGTTCCTTATCGCAAAATACTGGTCATTTCATTTACACGAGGTGGCAACAGGGGTGAGCCCCGGCGCGGAATAGAATAATAAGGTTGAGAAACGTCTCGCGGACATTTCGTCGCTCCCCTGACGTAAGGGCGTAACTCAATTTCCACATACGCCCCGTCGTCCATATAAATCAATGCTCTTTGGGGCTCATGCGGAAATCGAGATAGGCTTTTACGCGAAAAGAGCGACGATTTTGGAGTTGCAGCCGGGTTCACACGCACGCGCGCCGACGACGACGCGCGACGCTCGTGCGCTAATCGCGGTCGCACTAAATGCACGAATGCCTACCGGCTGTGGCCCCGGAATCCACGGCCCTTCTCCCCCCCCCCTCCGTCCAGAACCTTGCCCGTTGCGGCCTGCATGCGCCTGTGAGAAACTCTTTCACACAAATTTCGTGAATCATTCCCGTTTTGGAGCTACCCCGGGGGCGTCGCGCCGCGTCCGAGCTACAACCCCCCCCCCCCCCCCCCTCCTCCCCGACGTCGGCTCCTCCCCCTCTGCATCGTGGATATGCACATCGCAGTTGTCGGATTGCTGAGAGGAAACGATGCATTTTACACCGGGGGAAAAGCTACTTTAAGTAGAAATATATATTTATGAATTTATGAGCGAGAAGAAATTTCTTTGAATCTAGAGGAAAGGATGCTGATATTGAGGGAAAAGTCTTATATCAGTTTTAAGAGCTTATATCAAGCTCTTAAAACTAAAAACAGATAATTCTACAATTCCCGTTTTCTAGAAAATCTGTTTTTTTTATTGAATTATTTAAACTGTCGGAGCCCCTAAATAAAGCATTTGTTTAGGGGATGATTTTTCGAATTTTAGTTTTGGTGAATGTTGTAAATCCGTAAATCTGTAAATCCACTCATATTTCGGGGAACCGCAATCTATACACTTAGAAGGTCGGGGTCCGACACTTTACGAAACTTTAAAGGGTTATGTTTTCGTTAATAACGAAGTTTAAGGAGTGTTTTCCTCATATGTAGAATGTCTTTCAAAGAGAACTTGTCAAAATTTATAATGTGACGAAATGAACATTAAACTTTACAGTCGAGTCAAAAATTTCACGTCTGAGCTCTCTCTGAAAGTCGTTCCACTGTGCCGCGGTGGGATTCGACACCTCAATCGCAAGCGGGACCTCGTAAATCACGATATCTCCAAATTCGGATTTCGGATTCGGGCGATCGAGATCCGATCGACAATCCACATATTCGGCTACCGTTCCGTTGTTTCCCACAGCATGTGCCGCCTTATTTTTTTAATGGCTTTTAAATTATCCTATCTCGCCCGCGGCACCGCTCCTTGCGACACTCGCTCCGCCGCGCCGTGTTGCGGGAAAGGGCAGTAAGTCCATCCTGGAAGGAGCCTCGAAGCCCGTAAGGACACATGCTATCCGTGGATCACACTTACTGCTGTCTTCCGTAACACTCCGCCGTGTTGTGGAAGAGAGCCGTAAGTGGAGTCTCGTATAAGCCTCGAGACCCATACGAGCATCTGCTAACCGCGGCTTACCATAGATATGCACTTACGGTTCTCTTCCGTAAAACGGCAGTCCAGTTGTTGCGTCGGGAATGCTCGACTGAATACTTCATCAGGACCTTACAAAATCTGCATCGCTTGGATTTTAAGCCCTTGCGTCATTGCTTGCTATCGTAAAATCGATCGCTTGCGGCGAGTTGATCCTGGGCAATCTCACAAATGTTTCAATGGAGAATTTGCAGCTGTCTGAATTTTTTTGAATCCCATGTTTAAGGAGAAACTACTGAGTGAACTGAGAATCAGAATATCCTTGGTTTCTAAAATGATCAAGTATTAGAGGAGATATGACCAAATTACCTACTATGCCAAAATGCATGTGTTGAAACGAGAAACGTCGCGGAATGACGTCATAAGGGGGTAAATTTCATCTGTTTTAACTGTTCTACTCCAAAGTGTACCAAATCGAAAAGAAGTCTTGAAAAAGACTAGGAACGCAGCTAATTAAACACTGTCAGATGCAGCAAGAATTTGTCGCACAAATTCTCCATTGACATTCTTCTTCCAGGCTACTGTTCCGCCGAATCCAGTGCAGAGATGCAAAATAAAATTTCATGGGATGAAATCCATTTTTCCGAAAAGTGCAATTCATTTCCCACGCACGTTGGAAAAAACTGTCCAAGGATCGACTATAAACACAGCCCTAAATTTTGGCATGTTGGCAACCCTAAGTTGAAGTCAGAAGAAAATATGCCTCTCTCGAGACCGCAAAAACGGCACTTTACATGTTCGTCCACTGGACCTTTCAATTCATAATGGTGGGCTACCCTCATTGTAATGCATCGAGACTTGCATGCAGAGAGAAAGCTGCATTTCAAATGGGCTCCCTTTGTTTTTTGTTTAATTAATATCCGGTACTCATTGTGGTATAGCAGTTCAAATTCGGTAGCTATTCTTCCATGGGGAACTGGACTTGCCTACATTCTGCCGTGTTACGGAAGAGATCACTGGATCTCAATATGTGCATTTCTGTATGAGCCACGGTTAGTACGTGCTCTTATGTGTTTGGAGGCTCATCCCAGACTGCAGTTACTGCTCTTGATCGTTGTTGAGAAAGAACGCCGTATGAGCATTGGCATATTGCCGAATTTCCTCATAGTATAATTATTTTAATTGTATCGGAATTCATTTTGTTGAGAAATATTCATTTTATCGGCTACTGGATGGAATTGAGGCGTTGGGTGTAGAAAGATTATTCCTTCCTTGCGGTGATTTTTTGTCACACTTCGTTCCATCGTTCCCTTGGACCAAATTTCATGAGTTTCGCCGCTATAGACAAGTGATAGTTCGTAGATGATCCCACTCTATTCAGATTTTTGGAACGTAGTGGTATTTTCACCAGAGTAGTGGTAAAAATACCCCTGTTAATAGTTTAGACCCTTGTTAAGTCTGAGTTTATATGGGACATCAGGAGTATGGTAATTTGAACCAAGTGAGGGGTATTTCAATAAGGGCCGATTTTTGGCGCACCCTGAATTTCCTCACCTCTCGATTTTTTGCTCTTTGAAGGTCTATATTTACGGAATGCATCATGATTTGGTCATTTTCGGGCTCTGTTTGCGCCTACCACTGGCCCAGACATGAGACTGAAGGCCGATTTTGGCAAAGAGAAGTGGGTTTGAGTTAATTGTCGACAAATCCGCATTTTGCGGCAAAATCGGTCTTTCGCCCCTAAAAAAACCTAAATAATCAAATCAGGATTCATTCCCTAAAATATAGACCTTAAATGAGTAAAAAAATCGTGGTTTTGAGAAATTTCAGGTAACGCCCTTATCCTTATCGATATCGCGCTTTTTTATTTTCGCCATGATACCAAGAATTTTGGTCGTAAATTAATTTTCGGGTAATTAAAAGGCTATCGCGGACACATGGCAGCATGGGCACGTTGATAAGGCGTTTTGCCTTTGGACGGCAGTACGCGAGGCCGAATTCGGTTCCGCGGGGGTGAGGGGGGGCTCAGGGGTGAGTGATGGGTCTATATCTGCAGTGGCGCAAGTCGGGCCCAAGAGGAAGAGCTGCCCGCTCTCGCGTCGGCGTCGCCGCCAGCAGTGCCATTGTTGCCAGATTGTGTGATAAGATGCGAATATTTTACATGGGTTTAAACGGGGGAATGTGCTGATTTTCCGGCACAATTTGGCAACAATCAGTGCACCGCGTCCGCGTCGCGACGCTATGGTAACTTGTTTAATCAACGTTTTCCTCCCGGGCATTCCCGGCGCCCCGCCCGGTTGACAGGTCGTCAAAAATCCCCCCTCCCCCTCCACCGCCACAGGAATCACCCAGAGTTTTTCGGTCAGTCGATTAATCGAATTTTTCGGAAATTCAGTATTTGATTGATAATCGACTTAAATCGAATCAAAATGGGACTGCATTTTGCAATTAAGAACTGCAATTTCTGGCTCAGTTTAGGATCAACGTCTGTACCATTATTTTCCCTATGCATGTAAGTGTTTTTACGGATGAGCCAGAAATCGTAATTCCTGATTGCGAAATGTAGCTAAATTAATGATTAATGTGCATGTAGAAACGGTAGATT